CTCAGAAATTATGGAATTCATAGTACGGATTTCCAGGCGAAACTGATATCAGCTGATATCTAATTGCTGCACATCTGTCCAGCGTTAATTTATGTTAAAGTTTATCAGCAGAGTAAGCATATCATCTTAGATTTTGCAAAAAAAACTCTTGTTATTTTACTTTAAAATGTATGTCATATGAATAATTACTTTGTCTCTGAAAAAGGACAAAATTTGTTCCAAAATTTTATCTTGTCATATAAAATGGCTGTCAGGAAAACTGCATGCCTTGTTTTCTCGTTCATGATATTCCGCAACACATTATTGTTTTATGAAATTTATGCAGATTGGTGTATAATGTTTAATATTTCAGTTTCCTCGATGACTTAAGCAGGCTAAGCACATCTGACTACCAACCAAATGAACAAGACGTGTTGCGAACCCGCGTGAAAACTACCGGCATCACCGAAGTGCTGTTCGAATTGAAAGGCCTGACTTTCCGGTAACATAGTCGATCATATGGGCGGAGTTTAAAATGCGATTTATATTATCCATAATGCATATGTGTTCAGTGCAAAGCGATGACCATTCGCTGTTATCAGTTAATGACCAGTTATTGCAGTTTTAATGTTCAGCGCTTGATTAATATATCAAATTAACAGTCAGCCATCAATCGAGCCAGCGAAATCAGCAAACTTGAAAAGTTTCCCATCCAGTTGGGATTTTTGTGAAATTTCCGCCTGTGTATAATACAAATATTAACCTACTGCTCATAGTGACATTTTGCCGCGCAGAATGAATGACAATTTGTGACATTACGTTTGCGGACTGCACGAAATAACCTGTTCCTCAAATAATTTCATAAAATTTTTAATTTAAATTTTAAATTTGTTTCTGTTAATTTCGAACAAAGCCTAAGTGCTTCACTATAGGGAAATGAGTGCTTGCCGGCTGTTTCTAGACGCTACACTCGATTTCGAGTCGCCAGTAGTAGAGCTTCATCACTGAAGTCGTCTGTATTGCATAACTCTTCCGGGCTATTCGTCATTAGGCAAATTTTGCTTCACTCCTTCGGTCAAAAAGATAAAAGTATCTTCCTGCAACTGTTTTGTACAACCGTCGATTTTGTCTATCACTTTATTGTAATAAGCGAGCAAGTCCGGTTTCTACAGTTCAGTCGTTGATTTTCGTTCACGAAGTCGAAACAACCTCGTTCGTGGTCCTTTGATGATTCATTGCAGTCAGTCACTCAGTTTCCATGACCGTCTCGTCTTTGTATTGCGGCGGTAAATGCGTCAGATTGTGTCTCCAACGTTCCCTGTTCCTTGCCAGCGTTTGAGCTTCAGCAGAAGATAACCCGAGTTGAGCAACGCGTGTCGAGAGACTTGCCCCAGGTCACTTTTGGCCGTTCTCCGGATTTTCTTCGCTTTCCTGTTGTAAGCACTCTCAAGACTACTGCGCCCAAGCTATCACAGCTGCTAGTCCTTAAGATGATGAAGCAACGACTGTACACAAACGCTCTTTCGACTCTCTGAGCACCGGTCCATATGCAGACGCCTGAGGTAATCGATTAATCTCAGAAAGCCCATTTCACTCGTTTGTAACCGGGGATAGAAGTTTCTCACTCAGGATCGTAGGTGAGCACCAGGATGAGGTGTTATAGGCATAGTGTCATTAGGCACTGTGACTTGTTTCTAAGGAACGAATTGTTCGAGCTCGAATCCAGACACATCCTGGTGATGTCACCGCTGCATGTCCGCGGCTGGTTATATGCCGCAACTAACCTCCAATGCTGAAAGTCGTTCCCATATTAGCAACTTGGGAATTCACAGATGATGCTTGTCATCAGTTGGATAGGTTCAGTGGCCTTATCGACCTCTTGCTAAATGTCCCCCACATTCTTTCTAAATTTTTGGTTCATTCAGTCCGGGCCACAGACGGCATAATGTTTGTCCAAGTGATCATCGGCAGTGATGCTTGCTTGCACTGGCGCCGCCGTCAAAGGTGGATTGCGATTATGGCGTCTCTACCCAGCACTCCAGTTTGGTTTGGCAGTGTCGCCTAGCGGATATCGCATCCGTCGACAGAGATCGCCGGTTTATCCAGATGATCGCCTCCAAGGGTCAAATGCTGAAGTGCTCAAACGGGACACTTTACGGCATTCAAGCAGTTGTCTTCCTGGCTGTCGAAATGTTCGCTGGAAAGCTGACGCCGAGACTCTGACTAAGCCGTTTAAGATATTTAAGGTAGCTCACTCGGTACAACAGGCGGCACTCGCCACCTCCAGCCGCCACCAGCTCGATGTTCATCGTCTGTGACCGCCACAACCTCCTCTTCGATATACGCAGCGCCTGAATGACCACTTCGATCTTCTTTCCGAACCAGTACCTGTTTAGAGACACACACACACACGTGACATTGTTGCGCAGAACAAGACCAACCGCAGCGCGCGAGTCACATGCCCCATCCACATGGTCAGCCGATATCAGAATCGGGTAGAGGATTGAACAGTTTCCTTTCTAGAAAGACCGATGATTTTATCTAGATTAATGACACGATTATTGCTTTCTCAGACATGAGAGGTTGCTTTGGTGCTAAGTGCAAGGCCATCCGTTCTTGAGGTTGATTGAAAAATTCGTACTAAAATTTTTTCATAATTTTTTAATGAGAAACTTCACTGATTTCAAAATATCTTTCATAATTGTTTTCATTTCCTCTCTCTCAGCAAATGTTGAATCTGCCTTGCTATTATTTGCCAGTTGCGGACTGAAAGAGATTGATGAACTTGAAGGACACATAATTTTTACAATTTTTAGGGTAACCGATGTCGGTGGCCAAAGGTCAGAGCGTAAAAAGTGGATCCATTGTTTCGACAACGTAAATGCGATCATATTCATCTCTTCTCTTAGCGAATACGACCAAACTCTTAGAGAAGACAACTTTACGGTAATTTTGTTTTGTTGATTGTAGCTGGTAGACTCCTAGTTACTACCGTTCGTTTGCCACCAATGCTGGGCTGCTGTTTTACCAAACGATTGCCTCGATTTGTAAGTCCTCGATTGCTGTATCCACTACTCTTGCCTGTGGAAAGTTCCTAGGATGCGCCATGTTCTTCTTCTCACACTTATTCGCTTTTGCTAATATCATGCATATCACGGGATGTTTTAAAACGTTTTCGGTTTTACATATAGTACTGATTATCATGCTAGATAGTCAGCTATCAGGAAAATCAAGGAAAATTGCGGCTCTAACATGCGTTCACCTCAGACCGCGTAGTCGTGCTCCTTGCCCACTCTAACATGACCTCACCAGAACAATATGCCGTACCTGTCGTGGACTTGCTGCCCGTTTCTCAGCTGGCGGCACTGAAGCAATGTTAAAAATTCCTTGTTCAATGCGATTAACAGTTAGAATACTTTTCTGTTAAGGTTCATCATTTCGCTGGCACTTCCGGCGTTCAGGGTTGGCCTGCTACCACTGTGTCGGTGTGTCATACGATATGGTTTCATCAGTAACTCTATTACCTCAAGGTGCAGACTTCAACACAACTCTTAAGTAGGATTTTCCAAGCAAGCTTGGCTGCAGTGAAAAAACTAGCATAAGAGCGATTCTACGCTCATTTGGTTCCTTCGGCTGGTTTCAACAAAGGGGATTGTACTGAAAATGGATGTAGAATGTACTTGGCAATTAATTCTAATGTTGAGGTCAGCACTTCCGCTGTAGATAGACAATGGAAGTGGGCTTCCGTATATCACTAATCTCTCACCGCCATTTACCAGTATCATTGCTCCCTACGTTTTGACATGGCAAAGGTGCATCTTTTAAGATTCCTTATAGATTTTCTACAAAGCTACTATTTCAGTCGTATGTACGGCAACGCAAGGCAGTGTCGCAAACGTTCTCCATATTATATCAGATCGTAATTGTCAGCGGAATACACCCGATGTCTAGAACAAGGCAGTGATGCATTTGCTCCAAGCGATTATGGTAATTCCTCCAGTCAAAGTATTTT